TCACGGATTGTTTATTATCAATTATGATTATCAATAGATATACTTTCTGTATTGTCAGTTAGTGTATTTATAAACTCATAACAATGTGCCTTACTACAATTGATAATAACAATGCTGTGTACCTGCTAATATCGATGTTATAAAAAACCAATTAGCTACCTATATTTGTAATCCCTTGTGTATTATACCTGTATATTAATTCAAAAATTTGAAACTTTAAATGATTATATCTAATAAACGAATTAAGTTATATTAAAAATTCAAATGCCATTTACTATTAAATTAAAAACTCAAACATTTTATTTAATTAAAAATATGTGTTACCATTTAAAAAAACAAAGTTGACCCCCTTCCAAGGCATAAGGGATGAACTTAAAAAGTATTACATAATTAAAAATTCAAGAATAATGTGTAACTAAAGATAATGAAAAAAAAAATGTTTAAATTATTATTATTCTGCAAGTAATTGAGTGGGTTATAATAAAAAACCCAGCACAGGGGGGTCGCGGCACAGTTGTGACGTGGTATAGTATGATCAAGTATAATGATATCTGACAGTGATTAAAATCACTATCAAAAATAAAACGCTTCGATGCAAATCTTTAGATAGTGCTTAATTTAAAAAAAATTGGTGTTTTATTCCAAAAGCTACTTGATCTGCTGGTTCCTTATTAATATCTCGATAAAGATAAAGTATGTCAAATGAAAAAGGGTTTATTAAAAAATATTATTTCTCATAAAAAAATTGTGTGGATCCATAAACTTTTCAATAAGTTATAGCATTATAAAGTTAAATATAATATAAATAATAAAATCGAGAATTTTCACACGAAAATAGCATTCGGTAGCCATTTTCGCCGTGAAGACAAGTCCAGAGGTCAAATTTTTTTTTTTCAAATTAAAGTATATTACATTAGCTTTAATTTAAGATATATATAAAAGTGTCAGACCTTCCGGAACATTTTCAAAAGTTATGTTGAAAAAGTAAATTTTTTGTGAAAAAGTTGTCATTTTAAATCCCCACCTGTGGGCAGGTTAAGTGTCAGATTTACAAAAAAAATATACCAAATGATAGGTAAAGATATCAACCATCTATATAAAAAAAATTATATTGATATGTCCATTTTTGAAAAAGTTAGAGCATTATTAAGTTAAAAATATAAAAAAAAATTATTTTACAAAAATCGTAATTTTTTATTAACTTTGATGTCAACTTTCAC